CGTAGTCGTCGCCGTGGCAGGAGATGGAGGAACAAAGGCTGCCATTATTCCCGGCGTTCGCTTCGGATTCTGAATCACTTGCAAAAAGTGAAATTCAGAAGAGCGAAGTTTTGATTTTTCTTTCTACGAAGATGAAAGGCAGCGGCTATTATAAAAAACAAAATCATTATGGAAAAACCCTTTCCCCGCAAATCACAAAGCCCTTAACCCACCCGGATTATCCTCTATCGACCCGACCCGACCTGACCTGACCAAACAAAAATTTTGTGAGAGAATCTAACCCGTTAGATATGTCACTTGTATATTTTTTAACAAAAACTTTGTTTGCGGTGAAATATCATGTTTTTATTTATGTTGGTTTTATAATATAATATTTCAATTTAAAAATATGCATATATATAGTGATAAAATGTATGATTGTCTAAACTATTACATATACCTAATTAAGGTTGGATATTTTAGTATAAAATATTTTATATTGCGGTACGGTACAGTTATACTTTTTAACAAGTTCTTTTTTAATTTTTTTTTTTAAGTATGGTTTTGACATCGAATCGCAACCGTTGCTCACCCCTATGCCGAAAAGTGACGAAACCCGTAACCACCCGATACCTCTTTGGTTCGACTTGGCCCGCCTTGGAACCCAATTACACTAACTAATGAGAGATACTATAATTTTTGTATTAGACAACCTAATGTCAGACAAATCGACATGTCATAATTGTTTCTTATAAAAATATATATTATGCAATGACATGACATAATTTTATTTACATAATTGTCTAACCATTAAGATGTAACAAAACCCCCAAAGCACCCCCAATGTCTCCTCGGTTTGACCCGACCCGCATTGGAACCCAATGAATTAATAATGCATGATATGATGATAAATGTTAAATGATGGAAAAAGTGCATGCAAAATGCAATCAAGTATGGATCACTTCTGAATTCTGAGACATCTATATAATAAATTTGATAACATCAACTAGTTATTACTTTCCATTGTCAAATTACAAGAGCCAAAAAAAAA